AGGGAATGGGTTGGCGTCAACGTCGAATGAAAGGCATGTTGAATGTGACAAGGCAATCCAGAGTAGCTTTGCTTTTTTGCTTCAATGCCATCACACACCGCAAGGTCATCGAATCTATCGCCACCTGCGCACGGAAAATGCGCATTTTTCCTCTCTAATCTTTCATGCAATCGCCCACTTACACCTCTAATCGAGTTGGCTACTTGAATCGTCAGGGCAATCTCCCACCACGTCCCGAATGTTTTAAGTTTAAACATCCCTAGGAATGGGGACCTCTTACAGCTACCGCATCGGATTCAACTCAACACCATTTGTCATTATGGCGCAAGCAAGTGTTTCGGGCTTTGACGTCGATGCTGCTGCAAGATTGATGGTCAATAAATGTGACGTCGGAGGGAGTTTGGACAACAACAGGAAAAGTGATGATAAAAAGGGGAGATGGATTTGGGGTAAGGGAACGCTAACACAGGAATGAATCATCCCATGTGAAAGGCATTGTGTGGCTCATGAGGATGACTTTGTTGGGTATTTGGATAGCCGAAAGGTGTGTTCTACGCCCCGCCTTAAATTTGGGTCAAATGTCTTGGTGGTTTGCGCAGCCCTCGGTTTTGATATGAATTACTTCAGCAATTTTATCATCATACTTTTGTCAGGTGGACCGTCTACAGAGCCGTCCCAGAAGTTCCTAAGCTGGATATTCTGCCCGCGTTTCCCTTCGGTCTTTTATCGCCTTCAGAGAAGTCCCAAAACATCATGTTGATCCTTAGGAGGTGGATAGGGAAGCACTTGAAGTCCTTAATTGACAATCCGACTAGTTGGTTAATACGAAAGGCCAACCGAAATGCGGTCCCAGTTAAAATCAAAGGTAGGTGAATTGCAGGACCCGTATGGACCACATTCTTGCGTTATTGGGCACTTCACACACTTCATGAAGTTGATCAAAAAGGCTCACCAAAAAGTCAACCATCTCGACACCGTCATGCCTCACTAAACGACTGAGTTGGTGGCCTACCTTCACTTTGTTCTTCAGCTCCACCAACGCGGCTCCAGCCTCATCAATGCAGGGACAGGCGTAGAACTCGCCCTCTTCCGCGGAGAGCAATTTAAACCACCCACTGGCTGATGCCTTCTTCAATTCGCCCACACCGAAAGAGAGCGAGCCCATGAAGTCGTTGCGAGACGTTCGATCCCAATCCCACACCTCCACGGATAACCGTTTCCCAACGTCCTCTGGATCCAAAGGTCTATATGGAATAGCAAGAACCAAATTCCCACCATTAGATTTACAAGTCTGGTATTTACAAGTCTGTTCGTACCCTCAGGTAGGTAGGATAGGGATTGAGATCAAACTCGCCTTAATTGCTGTCAAGGTATTACCATCAGTTTCAAACGCATAACAGCCTAAAACATTCCTGACGTGAGGAACAGGTTCAACCACTACTGGGACATCATTAGGAGAAAGTAGAGGATAAGGAGGCGACAACACCTCCTTCAATTCCTCTCGTGGGCAATTTTTAAGGTACGAGGTGGGAGACATGAGATCTTGCAAGATCATAAATGTCCCTTCCTTTCAAGTATTCCTGAGGTTTTCTGACGACAAAGTCATTTCACAGTTCTGGGATACAGAGCGGATGAATCCCAGCTCAAACCGTTGTTCAGCCTCTAACAGGTAAAAAATTGCATTCTCAGCACCTCACAAAGCATTAAAATGAGTCAATGTTGACCCATGAAGTGTAGAGAGGGTAGTGCGCGGATGAAATGCTTGGAGCTGATCAACAACCTGCTCATTCGATGGAAGGACATCAAAATACAACTGCACAAAGGCCATTCTAATAGCAAAGCAGGGAGTCAGTAGGCAATTCAAGTGGAGCAGCATAAAGTTGACAGTCTTTTAACTCAACAACTCA